AAATCCATATAAAATTCACACAGTGGCCAAATCTAAAGAAAATTCACACAGTGGCCAAATTTAGAGAACAAAGTGGCCAAATCTAGAGAAAACACACACACTGGCCAAAATCCAGAGAAATTTCACACAGTGACAAAATCTACCTACTGGCCAAAATCCAAAGAAAATTCACACAATGGCCAAATCTAGAGAAAATACACACAATGGCCAAATCCAGAGAAAATTCACACAGTGGCCAAATCCAGAGAAAATTGAAGAGTGATTGTGGAAAATTCTTCACATTACCATATTGTGCACAACTTGATAACAATGCACGCTAGGCTGCTGCATTCGGAGCAAATGACATTGTCATTGAAATGTTTTCAGCTTCCTTCAATTACACTACTCGACTCATTGCTCCCACTAAACATGTATAATGCCTGAGCAATGACTCTAACCCATAATCAAATCTCATCATGCTCAACCATTGTTCAATCTCCCCAACCAAACTCGCATTGTAAAAAGCTAAAAGAATTACAAGAAAGCTATATTCATCCGGGACAAGCCCTTTAGGCTCCATCAAAACAAAAAACTCCATCACTGAATTCCAATCCCCTTGCTACGTATAACTCGCCATCATTGCATTCCACCCGATAATACTCATCTTTGACATAAGTTCATCAAACACCCCATGAGCGCCCGATACTAAACCACACTTCCCATACCCATCAACCAATGCAGATCCCACAACCGTACCCAAATTGAGCCCAGTAACAACCACATGACCGTGAATTATCCTACATTGCTCCAAAGCAGCAAGCTTTGCTGTTGCACGTAGTGCTCTCGATACACTATGCATAGTAGACCCAATCCCACAACTTTTCATGTTAGCAAAGCAAGACAAAAGCCTCAAACGACCGAGAATTTTGCGCCAACCCAACAATTATAGACCTGTGACAAGCTTGGTCTTTGTGAGGAATTTCGTCGAACACTTTACTAGCATCATCTAAAAGTTAGGTTTTGGAATAGAAATTGATAAGCATAGAGGCGACGAAGGGTCAGGAATATAAAAAGAGCTTGAGAGAGAGAGTGTGTGGAGTTAGAGGCCGAAGGAGAGAGAATATAAGAAAGAGCATGACTTAAAGAGGATGGCAAGGGTGTGGTGGTTAGGGAGGGTGGAGTGGCGGAGTATAGAGACGAAGTAGTGAAGAGAAAATAAGAAGTTGGAGAGGGTAGAGATGAAGGCGGTCTAGGAAACGATGTTGGGAGAGGGGATTCGTACATAGAGTTTGCTGTTCTTCTTCTTCATCTGTCATTGTTGAAGTTCAGTAGTAACACACAGTATAGAAAAGAGAGAAAGAGATGAGTAAAATGCACAATTGATTTACACGTCATCACGTTCTGCAAAAAATCTCATTACAATCTAAAATAACATTGAAGGACCTTAGACATAAAAAAATATTATTATGGACCTCTCCTCCTATTAAAAGTTGGATAAGGATCTTAAACCAATTTTCTCTATAATTAAACTAAAAAAGTTGTATTGGTTGGCAATGACTCTTTTAGCAATTTGCTTATTTATTTTTTCTTTGTATTTTTTTTTTATGACAAATTCATTGATAAAAAAGTTATGTTGGTAGATGTTTAAATTATTATTTTTTTAATTAATGAAAAAGTCAAATGGATCATTTTTTGAAGTAAAATATTTGTGATTAAGTAAAAAAAAAATCAATAAAAAAAAAGAACTAAAATTTTATACTTTTTAAGTGTTTTTAAATTAAATAAAATTTTAAAAAAAAAAATTAAAAATAAAAAGCACAAAAAAAAAAAAATATTAAAACTAGTAGTTTAAATCGACACTGTCAGGTAGCCAATTAGAGCATCTCCAATGGTTTTGCTATATCAGTTGCCAAAGCTAAAAAATGACAGGAATGGCAAAAATGAGTCTCCAACAGTTTGCTATTTCACTTGCCAAATATGGTAGATGCCATATGTGTTCTCAAATTTGGCGAGTGAAATGGCAGGTGCCAAGCTTGCCAGATCAGCAAAAATCAGACCGTTGGAGACCCAATTTTCATAATCAAGCAAATTTTTGTTTCAGATATCAAAACATATATATCAATGCAAATTTCTGTATACCGGATAATCAAAAAATTGTTCATGACAGATATAAAAAATTGAAGACAGATATATATATATATAATAAAAAAATTGATGAAGACATATATATCAAAAAATTTCAAAACATATATATCAAAAAAAATTGATGAAGACAGATCGTATAGATGGAGATCAAGACAAATCAAAACATACATATATATATAGTTTTCATATATATATATATGAGTATGTATATAAATGGAGATCTTACCAGAGACCGAGAGTACACAGATCAAAGGTGAGGATTGAGAGGGAGACAGAGTGAAACCAGAGAGACGGGGTTCCGATCTTGGAGGAGAAGAGGGAGATCGGGTTCCAATCATGGAGGATATCGTGGAGGAGAAGGGGTTTTGAGCACGGAGGAAAACAGGGAGTGGTTTAAGAAGAGGGAGACAGAGTGAGAGACTGAAATGGAGAGAGAGTGAGAGAGGGGTTTCAACCATGGAGGAGGAGGGAGAGTGGCTTGTGCTCTGTTTGGTTTGTGCTCTGTTTGATTTCGGCCATGGAGGAGAAGACAGGGTGAGAATGAGAGGGAGATGAAGAGGCGTGGAGGAGAATGATAGTGAAAAGAGAGTAGATCATTCTAGATGTATGGCAAAATAAAGAGTCGTTGGGCTCTGTTTGGTTTGTATGGCAAAATAAAAGGTGATGCCTTGGGCTTTGTTTGGTTTGTTTAACAAAAAAAATAATTAATTTTTTTTTTTTTTTTACAACAGCTCTTTTAAACCGCTGTTTGACAAATGACTATTTTTTACAACAGCTCTTTTAATTTCCATAAATTGAAACCCTCCATGCCACTTTTATTTCACACAAACATTTACATTTAATTTTTTTTTTCTCCTCTCTTATTTGAATCTGATTTCACAACAAACCTCTTAAATTATTTTCTTTTTAGTTTTTTCATCCAATCATTATGGAAGGTTCATTAAAAACAAATATAGGAAAATCATTCACCATTGAAGAAGATATGACAATTTGTAAATCTTGGTGTCACATTTCGGAAGACCTAATTGTTGGCAATTCGCAATCGCAAGCTCACTTTTAGGGAAGAATTTACGAAAATTATTGCTTACTTCAGAATGATCAGTCTAGAACACAAGTGTCTATTCAATCTCGATGGGGTATAATCATGAAATGTTCTAACAAATTTCATGGATGTTTAGCTCAAGTCGAAAATCTTCACCCAAGTGGGATTTCTCAAGTTGATATGGTAAGTTTTTACTTTCAGTTATTATGTTTAGTTTCTTATTCTGGTATCGTATAAAAATTACGTAATTAAATAATGTTTAAATTTTTTTAAAACATATGCTTCAAGCAAAACTATTATACCATCAAGATGAAAACAAACATTTCGCTTTTGAACATTGTTGGCCAATATTGCAAGACAATATCAGGTGGCAAGATGTAGCTCCCACGGATACGGTAAAGGCAAGGATGCATACAATGCTTACTCCTAATTCAGCCCCCGATTTCCCTATGGAAAACTGCATTTCTCTTGAAGACGACAACAGTCCAAGTGTTGGTAACAATCCAACTGTTGGTGAGGGCAGTGTCTCTGCAAGGGGTAAAAGGCCGATGGGTAGGAAATTTGCAAAAGAATTATTTCGGAAAAATCAAGTCGTTTAAGCTGAAGTTCAAAAAATGAGCACACAATTGGACATATTTAACCAATACCTTACTGAGAAGGAAAATAAAAAAGATGAAAGAGAAGAAAAAAGGATTCAAGCAATGCATGAGATAAAATAACTTGAGATGAAAAAACATGACTTTAAGATCAGAAGACAAGAACATGAGATGAAAAAGGAAGAACATATGATAATGACTACGAACATTTCTCATTTGGACCCTCAGACGAAAGCGTATGACATAATGCGAAAAAATGAGATTTTCGCCAAGTGGTCCTCAAATGTTAGCAGCCCAAATTACTATTTCCCCCTGCCTCCTGATGAATAATTACGGGATAATGTAATGAAATTTTCGCCAAGTAGTCCTCATATTTTTATTTTGTAATGAAATTTCATATTTGTTTTTATTTTTGAGTATTTTCTACAAAAGAACGTAATATTATTTTTGCAATGTATAATGTAGCAAAATAGTTTAGTATAATTTAATTTTTTCAATAAAGTATAATGAGAAAATAAATATAATTTTTCCAATGAAGGCAATAAAAAGATAAAATTTATTTATTTTTCCAAATTTTCAATTTTTTTTTCATTTTTTATATTTGTCTAGTCGGGAATAATACAAATATATAAAATTTTTTACAAACTGTATAAAAAAAGTCACAAAAGACAAAAAATAAACAGAAATAAAATCACAAAAACCTATATCCAAACAACACCTACAAAGTTAGAGGAAAAGTTAGTTAAGATTTGTCAAAAATAACAAATGACCATTAGAACACTATTATTATAATTTGACAAAATAATACTATTCATTATCAAATTAAAAGTAATAACAACCCCAATATAACAAAAATCATTGAAGATGCTCCCAGGAACAAACACGAATTGAACAAATACAAATACGTGCGACTTGCGTAGACAACTGGGAACACACACGTGTCGAAAATGCCACGCGTGCAGATATTTTTATCTCCCGCCAGTGAAGCGAAATCAAATCAAACAACAAATGAATCTGTAATTTCCCTCCCCTCTGGAAATTATAGATATAGCCTCGTTTGGCAATTTATGTTTTTCTTTAAAAAATTTAAAAATTATTAAAAAGTTTTAAAAATCAATCATCCATATTAAATACTTTTTACACATTTTTCATAAAAAAAAATTAAAAAATTATTAAAATAATCAGTTTCAAACAGTTCTTATTTTATTTATTTATTTTTTTAACCCTCCCCTTCCTCCTTCCTCCTTCCTCGAGAAGTTTTATCAAATATCTCTCACACTCACAGTGTGTCGCTAATATGCTCAGATTTTCAATCTAAGGGGTCTGAGAGAGAGAGAGAGAGAGAGTTTGTTTCAAATGTCGGGAACAACCAAGCAAGACTCATCACTAGTGTGCGACCACCCTTCCAAAACCTTCTTCGGCGTTCGTTTCGTCCTCTTTGGATTCGATCCCATCTCCTCCCAAAAGGTCTCTCTCTCTCTCTCTCTCTCTACACTTCAATTTGATTTCGCTTTGTTTCACTCTTTCTATTTTATTTTATTATTGTTATTTATTTATTTATTTTTTTCCAAATAAATTGTTATATAGGTCCGATTGAAGCTTGTGAATGGAGGAGGGATTGATGCTTGTCAATATGGTCCGAATTGCACTCACGTCATTGTTGACAATCTTATTCATGTAAGTGTCTTTCGTTTTATTTATTTATTTAATTTTGATTAATGTCGTATTTTAATGTAACTGAGGATTTTTGAAAATTATTATTATTTTTAAATATTAGCACTGAATTGAGCAATTGTCTGGTGCAGGATGATCCTGTATGTGTCGCTGCTCGAACGGATGGAAAGATTTTGGTCACGGGGTTATGGGTTGATCATAGTTTTGATATTGGCATGCCCGTTGATCCCATTTCCGTGAGCTTCTCTATCCAATTATTTACTTCGATTCTGTATCTTGAAGTATTCATTTGTGTCGTATGTTTGAAGATAGAACAAACTTTAGGCTCCTAACATTAGTAGTAGGATGCACAACAATTAACAGGAATTGACACCTCCCGTTTGCAAGAACACATAATTTGAAGTAGATTGGCAGTTATCAAGATCACAACACCAACCAACAATGTGGCAACTCAAATACAAGTCCAGAAAAATCATTCTTCATACCTGCCCATAATGTCAATGTACCAAAAATAAAATATTTTTAGATCATATGTTGAGGTCTCAAGTTTGAAACCAACTAGGTGCAAACAATTTCTTGGGGCCATTCCATACAAGGGCTTGCCCTGCCTTAATTGGGCCCCCCCGTTAGTGGATGGTGGGGTTGGTCTCCATGATTAGTCGGTATAGTGGACTAGATATCGAGAGATTAAAAAAAAAAACAAAAAACTACCCAAACCAAGTTTGTACTATGAACTCCCAAATTCAATGGTAGAGCTTATCCTCGGAATGTCCTTTGGCTTTTTCTCATGTTGTATTTTCTTTCAGGATTTCTTTCCCAGTTGTGTTTCAAACCAAACCAAACCAAATCAAGTCTTAAGTCCCATCAAATGGGATCGACTACATGAATATTTCTTCTCTACGTGGCCCTATCAAAAACCATTTCGTTAGTCAAATTAAGTAGATCCATATCTCTATTTACAACGCTAGCCAACATTAATCTAGGTCTACCCTATCCCCTAACACTCTCATCTACCGTTACAATATCGCTTCTCTTCACTACTGCCTCTGTTGGTTTCCATTGAATGTGACCAAACCATCTCAATTGATTCTCTCTCAACTTATCTTCTATCGGTACTAAGCTTACCCATTCCTAAATTCACTCATTTTTAATTTTGTCTTGTCTAGTATTGTCACACATCCACCTCAGCATCTTCATCCCAGTTGTGTTTTAGTTTGAAATATTTCAAATTATAGCGTAGATTTTGTTTTTATTCAATGTTTTTCTTATTGTGGTACGTGTAAAGTTTGCAAGTTTGCTATGTCTTGATTAATTTCAACTTTGCTATGTCACACTAAATCTTTTGCATATTTCAATTGTTTTAGCACTAATGTAGTAAATAAATATTAGAATTCAGAAGACTTGCATGTTGACATCACTCTTTCATTTTAACACAAATCATATTTACATTTCCATAACCTTTATGAATAATAATGAGTTTAAAATTTTAATTTGCATTTGATGCTGCTTCCTAATATTTTACTTCTTGTGAAGTAATAATCCATGGCTCTGAGCCACTTGTCTGGTCCCCATTCTATCTAATTGAACTTTTTTCCTCTCTTTGGGGCATGTCAATCTTGAATTTTTACTGTACACATCAATGCATATTTTTAATTATATAAAGTGATTGTGATCATGTGACTCGTATTTGTCATGTTTATTCATTTTTGTAACCTCTGTTGTTGTCCGCATGCTCATAGGATGTTTATTCGTCTTCTCACAGGTTATGTACAGACCTTTAAGAGATTTGGATGGAATTCGAGGTGCTAAATCTATAATTGCTTGCTTGACTGGATACCAAAGGCAAGATCGAGATGATATTATGGTTCGTAGCAGCCTTTCTTGTATATCTTTCTTCCTGTTCATTACGTACACTTCATCATATCTTCTTTTATGATTACTGAGGCCATTAAAAAAAAAAAACAAAACAAGAAAAAGTAATAAGAAAGTTGTTTATATGAATTTTTTGTCTTATTATCTCCCATTTTCTCTCAGACAATGGTTGGCCTAATGGGGGCAAAATTTTCAAAGCCTTTGGTTGCAAATAAAGTTACTCATCTTATATGCTACAAATTTGAAGGTGGGTTGTTATCTTGATTCTAATGGATTTACATACGTTTGGACTATCATGGTATATCTTGACGCATGACATTTTCCCACAGTTGTGATGTTCTTTATTATTTAGTGATTTCATCTATAATTTTGACATTGAAGTGCAATTGTTTTTTTTTTTCTACACATGAAATTTAAATTTCATCCTATCAGTTCTATGGGAAAGAAAAGTACTATAATCTTTCGCTAAGTTACCTGAAATATTTAATCTGACTAAAGTTTCTATTAAGTTAAGCAGCTCCAGATTGCCTGTTCTGTTGAGAAGCAAAATTTTACTAATGGATCACCTGGTCATGTAATAAGAACTATATTGGCTGAATGATTTTTGCTTAGCTGCACAAATTAGTTTACTGTATGTATGTTGTTTCATGAGTATGCCATTATAATTTGCTTCAAAATGTGAAGATTAATATTCTGCAAAGCACCAAGTTTAGGATTATTCTTTTTTGGTTTGTGGCAAGTTAGATATCTATTGCGTTGTGTTATTAGTTTCTCACATATTCACTTAGCTTGCAAGACAAACTATTGATGGCTTTCTGTGTCAGAATACACTCTGAACCAGTAGTTTGTTATTTTATGGATTGATGTTTTGGATGTAATAGGTACCATTGGAAGATCCAAGTGTCTAAATTTGGTATTGTTAGACACATTCTACACCCTTATCCTTGACATATCTGGTGGACATGGGTACTATGGGGGAAATGAAAGTCCATCTAAAATAGGTCATTGCCATCTCAGCAATGTCCTCTCTACGTATCAGTCCTCCTAATGCACCATGATGTCCTTGAGGGGACTAATTGGGGCCATATGCCTAACCTCAATGAGAGATTATGAACCACCCAACATGGCTGTTCGGCCCATTAGTGTGCTTGGCGCCCTAATTGCGAGCCAAAACACCAAATGAATGAGTCAAAATATGAAGAGCATGAGGCATGGCCCACACCATTAGTTGGCTGAACCAAACTCGCTTGCTCGGCCATAGTCCACTCGATAGTGGTGTAGCTTGGCACCCCTTGGCTTGCCCAAATGAGCTATTGCTCGATCATAACCCTTCACGCCTCATTCCCATAGGGTATTTCGAGGAATTACCAGGAGCATAGCATCCCATGATTTTGACTTTGGAGGTTGTATCATGATTCAGTAAATGGTTCTGTTGGCATTTATTATTTAAAATTGAAGAACTATATAAGTTTATATTGTGTTATTTTGTCAATTCTTGGATAAGATCAATCTTTATATGATGTGTTATTTTTTTCTATACTTGGATAGTATCAAACTTTTCTTCTTGGCCTTTTATAGGAGAGAAGTATGAGCTTGCCAGGAAAATGAAAAAGATAAAGATTGTTAACCATCGATGGTTGGAAGACTGGTATGTTATCATTTTGTTCTCTTACTTTTGAAGAATTACGGCCTCTTTACTTGACATCTATTTTAGGACTAGTTGGATATCATACAATTGGTTACTTATTTTCTATTCGAGTTATATTTAAAATAGGAACTACTTTTATTTTCCATTGCAGTTTGGTGTCTTGGGAAATTCTTCCAGAAGCTAATTACGATAAGAGGTGAGACTTGAATATTTTTTGTTGTAATGTTACTATGGTGTGCATTTACATGTTTGTATAAACAAGTTTGCATTGGGATGCAAATTGATGCAGGTGTTCATGTTAGGTTAAGAGGGTTAAGACATATATGGTGATTGGTGACTGACTCCCTATAGATGTACAGCTTTAATCATTTTATAGAGAGAGAGAGGGTCATCATTGGGGTTGTGTCATTGTCATGGCATGAGTATACTGATTTACTTGTGCATTTTGTTAATGTCAATGCTATTCCTGTTTGGTTAATTCCTTGTGATCCGTGGATATTAGGGGAAGTTTTATTCTCAAATATTTAACTTTTAATGAATGGCATAAAAGTTTTGCTCATTCTTTTAATCAATATATTCTCCTTCCCGCCAGTGGCTATGAGTTGGAGATGATGGAAGCTGAAGCTAAAGATTCTGAGGAAGAAGCACAAGAGCTTGCCAAACAACAATATGGGGACAGAAAAATCGATGTTAGTCCTAGTAACTTGCATATTGGGATAATAGTAAGGGCCCATCCATCCCCCCAAACAAAAGAGGACGTCTCGAGAAACCTGCTGGCTACAAGTGCATCTAAAGCTTTATCAAGCGCTGGCAATAAGAATGACACAGTATTTGCCTCTGCAGAAAAGACTCCATCTGCTCGGGCTTTGAATTTGCAAGATATCCATAAGAAGCAATCTGAGGTGCTTTGTTCTCAGGACACCAAAACTCTTGGGGATGTTACTTGTGGCGATCCATCTGATCAGCCATTAAAATTATATGACAGATTGCCAACTTGTGCCAAGGTTGGAAATGACTTGCCTTCTTCTGGTAGTGCAAAGAGGTCTCCTCCTGATGATGCAGCAAATTCGAATACTATAAGTTACTCAAGGAAGACCCCTAGGAGAAACTCATTCTCAATGTTCTCGGGAGAAATGGCAAGCAATGTAAGCAGCTTTCCTACAGTCGATATTGATGAATTCAATGTCAGTGTCGGTTTTAACATCTCTTCAACCAGAGCAGAACAAGCTAATGATGGAACTGACTCTGGATGTGTTAAAACTCCTTCGAAGGAAACTGGGTTACATCATGAAGGGGGAAAAAATGGTATGTTGCCTGAAAAGAGGAAGATGAATGTTTCTTATGGTAGCTCAAAATCAAAAAAGACGAGTCATGATTCGAAACCATGCATCTTAGAAAGTCCGTTGGTGATTAATAGAACTGGACCTTCAGAATCTGCAGTTTTGATAGATGGTGCGTTGGATGAGAATGCTACTCCAAGTCCTGCACGTAACTCTCCTGTCAACATTGCAACCACAAATTTCTCAAGCTTCGACAGAAAATCATTGCCAAAGCCTGTCATCAGTGCTGTCACCTCAGAGAATAGGCAAGAGGACAACTTGGAGACACCTCAAAGATCTAACAGATTAAAAAACACAAGCTTGGCCACTGATTCTGGCATCAAAGATGTTATGAACAGAGCAGAAAATGCTGCTAGTAAAGTTGGGACGCCACAGAAAGAATGGCAAGATGTCCGGGTCCCATCTCCAAAAACTACAAGCTTAGAGATTAAGAAATCCAGTAGTCCTAGCTTGGACTTGTTCAAAGGAAAAAATACTCACTCACTCTCAAAACCACTTAGGAGGAAGGTAACTGCCAAGAAAACTTTGGGCTCTAGACCAAAATTAGGTCTTGCTAATACCAAAAATCATAAAGGTTCTATTCATCTACATGAAACTGCCTTGCAACCTGCTGCTGTGACAAGTTCGATTGGTGGGAAAGAGACAGAAAATAGGGAATTGTTTGTTAATTCGGAGAAGGTTGAAATGACTCCTCCCACTGTTAATGTTGACAAGGCCATGGTGATGGAGACACATGACGTTGAAAAATCAGGGAACGAGGTTGAGAATAAGATTGGATCCATGGACGATGAGACTGAGACTCCAGAGGAGACTGAGGCTCCAGAGGACAGAGAGGAACATGAATTTGAGGTGGGAGATTGTGAAGAGAAGCCTGAAGATGCAACACATAAGATGAATGTAGTGATGAAAGACAAATTGGATGTGCAGCCAATAACACCCAAAACCGATGCTAGCAGTTTGAGTACACACAACCCTACAAAAACATCAGATGAAGATGAAAATGGAGCTGAACATAAAAAGGCAGTTTGTGGCAGGAAAAATGAGCATGATGAATCAACTGCTAACGAGGACTGTGGGAAAGGAAAGTCAACTAAACGGAAAAAATGTCGAATGGGTAAAACATTGAGAAAGTCTGTTCCTTCTGTAATGGAGAGAAGAAAATTGAAGGATGGTGTAAGTAGGGAAGAGATCAAAAGTAAAAAGAACAATGAGAAGACAGGAAAGGAAAAGGAAAAAAGTATTCCATCTCCCGCAGGCAAAACCAACAGGACTGTACGTTCAAATAAGTCACAGAACTCTGTGGAAGTGGAGAAGGAAAATAAGCCTGTTGATATTGGAGATCAAAATGTGAGTCATGGAAAACAAAGGGTTGGAAAAATAGCTTCAAAATCTAATAGAATACCCGTGAAGATCGATCCGAAGGCTGGTGTGACTGATCAGGATTCGGTATTAGTGCAAAGGACTCCGAAAGTGAAAGTTGAACCTGTGTGGTTTATACTAAGTGGGCATAAGCTACAAAGGAAGGAGTTTCAGCAGTTTATTAGGCGTTTGAAAGGAAGGGTATGCAGAGATTCTCATCAGTGGTCATATCAAGCTACACACTTCATTGTTCCAGATCCAATACGCAGAACAGAAAAGTTTTTTGCTGCTGCAGCATCCGGAAGGTATGACCTTACCACAAAACTTATTTTAACTTTGCATATGAATGACTAATTAAAAACTCAAAACGCTGTTGGTGAACTGATTATCCACCTGCCCTTGTGTAAAAAGTATTTTGCTCTTTTTTATGCCTCAAATGCAGATGGATTCTGAAGACTGATTATTTAACTGCCAGCAATCAGGCAGGAAGATTATTAGCAGAGGAGCCTTATGAGTGGCACAAGAACGGTCTAAGTGAAGATGGTGCGATCAACTTGGAGGCTCCGAGGAAGTGGCGCCTTTTGAGGGAGAGAACTGGTCATGGGGCCTTCTATGGAATGCGTGTCGTCATCTATGGGGAATGCATTGCGCCACCACTGGTATAATCTACAATTTTCCCTGTAACACATTTTAATTCTTATGCTCTGATTTTCCTAGTAGTGGGTGGGATAAGTAGTCTCCTGCTAATTGTTATTCAGTAATACTACATACCCATGATTTTATCCAGAAACATCTACATGGACCCCTCAATAAACCATTTGAGTCTCAACCCTCCTTTTTTTATTCTGGGTAATTTTCCTGGTAAACTTTCTGTGAACTTAGACTATTCCATTGTTATACGTCAGGACACACTAAAGCGTGTCATCAAAGCTGGAGATGGGACCATTTTAGCGACCTCTCCTCCTTACACCCGCTTCCTTGAATCTGGAGTTGATTTTGCTATTGTCAGTCCTGGCATGCCACGTGTTGATATATGGGTACAAGAATTCTTAAGACATGAGATACCATGTGTTATAGCTGATTACCTGGTGGAGTATGTATGCAAGCCTGGTTATCCCCTCGAGAGACATGTGCAATACAATACTCACACTTGGGCAGAGAAGTCATTTGCTAACTTGTTCAAACAGTCAGAAGAGGTTGTTGAGGCGCAGACACCGCTTGAAGATCATGTTAACAATGATCTAAAGTGTCAAGTTTGCGGGTCTTGTGACAGAGGAGAGGTAATGCTGATCTGTGGTGATGAAAGTGGTTCAACCGGTTGTGGTGTTGGTACCCATATTGATTGTTGCAATCCTCCACTTGAACATGTTCCAGATGAAGACTGGTTTTGTCCAAAGTGTAGTAAGAGCAAAAATAGTAAGAATCGTCCCAAGAAGAGTACCAAGAAACAGACCTCTTCATTAAAAGGCAAATGATATTTCTCATGCTTTTTTTGTAACATATATATATATTTTTTTAGGGTAACCTTTTGTCTTTTGTCTCAATTGTCTTCCTCTAAAATATGTACCTTTAGTTAGATCTAGTACCAGTAAAGTTTATTCTGCTTCTGTTTCTTGTCAATATGGTTTGGTTGCTAGTCAAACTAGGAGGAATTTGAAGTTGCGCCCTATGTTGTTTGCTGGACCAGATGTTTTTTTTCCCCTTATCTTTTATTAAATGGGTAAAAATTGCTTGATATTGGACAATTTTTTTGCCTGAAGCACCTTCAATGGTCCCCAAAAAAATAATTATGACCTTGAATTGAGCAATTACTGTTTCAAAGCTGACATTCAATAAATATATTTGCAATTTACTTGATACTTCATATTTGTATCGAGAATGTTATAATGATCACATTTATATATCATATTTAGTTTATCATTTTATTTGTTGTGATTGTATTGATAGAATTAATCCTCATTTATGTCTGTTACTTATATAGCAATGAAATTAAATGGGATCATTGTAAAATTATTGTTTTTAAATTTGCACATCAAATAATAGAAGAATTACTCTCTCCTGGCAATAACCACCCATGTCCATTGGAGTCATAATAAACTACAAAGGCAAGAGAGGGAGTATTCTTATTTACTTTAAATATTATATATATTTAAGAAAATATACGCAATTGCAGATAGGCAAAACAAGCCCAAACCCATACAATATTTCTAAATGGGCCCCAGAATTACAAGGCATTTTTCTTTATCATTTAACATTTTAACAATTTTTCTTACAAACAAATAATATAGTATATATATATATATAAAGAAAAAAATATATCTTCATTCATACATATTTTGTGTCTGATCAATTTAGTATTACCAATTTAATATTTCTATATAAAAAAAAAAAAGTTTGGGCTATGGTGTAAAATCCACCTCTTATTTATTTTTTCCATTCTATTTTATTTTACAACAGCGCTTCCGACCCCCAGTGAGCTGTCGAGCTCTCATTCGCTGAAAACATATAAAAAAAGAAAGAAAGAAAAACTATTTTTTTCGCCCAATCACAGGGCGCCACCTCACTGGGGGTCGACCCCCAGTGGGTGTATGAGGCATTTCTGTTTATTTTATTTTATGTGGTTTGATTTGGTTGATGGTCGCATGTGAGAATGGTCCATAGATAGTATCTGTAAAGCCCATCCAAATCAGGCCAGGGCCCAACTATTGAAGTTTATCAAGAGCGATCGGTTTAATTTTCAGAAACAGAGCCTGTAATAAAATCTCTTTTTTATCCATAAATTATTATTATTATTATTTTTTGTTTGTGTGTTTTTTTCATGGTTTTAACGGATAATTATGCAATAGTTTTAGAGGATCATATGATATTGTTTACAGGATTATCCACATTAATTACATAACAGAAAATTGTATGAGTAAAATATTTAACTCACTTTTGTTAGGTAGTTAAGATATAAAGGATGATGCGAGTTTGGCATCCAGTTAAAAAGTCATATTTTTTTCAAATTTTTCTTTTGATTTTAGTATTTTTTTTATTTATAGATTTGTATATATATATATATATATATATTGATCTGTGTAGTGTAGAAGAATTTAAAAAGTTAAAAGTTAAAAATTAAAAATTCACTATAAATCAAGAAAAATATAAATAAAAAAAATCACTAAAAAAAAATAATCAATCTCAAATATTATGGTACGATTTTTTTTATTGATTGAGAACAAACAATGTAGTTCTAATAATTTTTCGGTTTGAACTTTTATTTAACAGACAATTATGATTTGTGTGGGTTGATCATCATGTTGTTCCCATCATGCTAGACTGCTAGTAAAAATGTAAAAAAGGGGAAAAGGTAATTTTGGTGTCATTATTGGTGCATATTCAGGCACAAAATGATTACCTCCCATATTAATTTGTCTTTATTTATTTATCTATTTGTCAAAAAAAAAATTAACAATATTTTTAGCACACTTATTAATGCATTCGAAAAACACTAGTAAGAGTCTTAAAAGTTATTTTTAACATTCTTCTTATTTTGATTTGTGGAGGTGTTTAATTAGAGCTCCTAAACATTCGTTTACCTTTTTATATTTGAGAATTGATAATATATTCATCTTACAAATAAATAACAGTCTTATAAACGTTTATTTTCAAACAATGTTAACAATATTTAAAAACTTATACATTTTATTTAAACGTACTTTTATGCATAATATATAATTTTTGTAGACCTGTGCCTTAAAATATCTCCAATAATACTTAAAAAAGGGAAAAATAAAAAAATTAATACTCTAACCTAATGTAAGAAAAAGGGAAATTAAGGATGCTAAGGATAGAATGTAGTCACACGGGACTAGAACATCAGGCCCTCTCTATTTACTAGGCCAACTTTCTTCCTCCACCACCAAACTTACAACTAGAAAAAGAAAATATACTATTCCCATGGCACATGAGCTTGGTAATTTTTGCAATGCTTTTCAAGCAATACTATGAGAGTTGCTAACATGTATTTTTAAGGCTTGGTTTGGGAAATGAATATATATATATATATATATATTCTTGTGTGTGGTTATTTGATTAAAATATGAAGTCTTTGAAAATAATTTTTTTAAAACTTTTTATAAAAAAACGTACAAAAAGTAGAGAGAATGAAAAAGAAATGTTTAATTTTTTTGACTTTTTGACTAAAATATTAAGTTCCAAACGACCATAAAAAGAAACAAAATTTAAAAAGGCTTTTTTATTTATATTTATCAATGTTAAAATATTTTTTTTACTATTTTATAACACGTTTTTAATATTTTCATTTTTTTTAAAAATAATTTTACTTACAATCTTAACTTAAGTAGGCATTTGGCCAACATTAAAAACAAGAATACTTAAATAAATAAATAAATCACACTTATCACCTCTTAGGCTTAAAAAAAATATAACACAACTCACAAGTTTGGTATAAATACAACTTCTAATAAAGTTAAAATAATTGACGTTTGGTTTGGGAAGTGAGTTAGTTTTTTGGCTTTTTGACTTTTTTGACTATTTTAACCTGGGCTAAAAAGCTTGATTTGGGAAGGATATTTTGACTTTTTAGCTTTTTTGACTTTTTTTGTAAGAGAAGAGTGTAATGATTATGGGTTAAATGTGATATTTTATTTGTTGTGGCTAAAATAACTTATTTTGTCTTTTGTGACTAAAATAACCAAAAAAATCTCAAATTTTGCTTCCCAAACGGTGCCTGAAAAATGTTTGTAAACACATGGATTAATAAGGTAAAATATATTTCACTGTAAATATAATAATTATTATTTTTACTCATATGACTAATAAATTATTAATAAAAAGAGAATTATGTGTTCAATTAATTAAAATTGACGAGTTTAATGAAATGATGCTAAATTTGCAGAAATCAATATGCATTTTTTTTTCAAATTTTAAAAGGAGATTATTGTAATTTGCAAATGTTGTCATAACTCATGAGAAAGTCGGATCTCAAAACAGCTTCCACATTTTTTTTTTAATATTTATTTTATAAAAATATACAAGTAATAAACAAATTGTAGATCTCAACAACTCATATCCATTTGTACTTTGTTTTGGTTTGTTCTTCCACATTCTCAAAATGTGAACACCATTTGTCAAATAAATTGCTTATGTCAGACATCCTTCTAATTTTTCGCATAGGTTTTTTGAGGGAGAGTTTGACTAATCAATAGTCATACATATGATCTGTCTATCAAATGAAAAATTACACTGTACATTAGGGTGTCAGATGAAAGCGAAAAAATTATTAATTGGTTATTTGACTGTATATCAATTATCAATTATAAAGTGAGTTAGTTTTTTTTGATTTTTTTTGACTATTTTAAACTGGATTAAAAAGCTTAGTTTGAGAAGGATTTTTTGACTTTTTTAACTTTGATTTTTTTGTAAGAAAAGAGTGTAATGATTATAGATTGAATGCGATATTTTATTTATTGTGACTAAAATATCCAACTTACCAAACACTACCATAATTTATTATATATTTTTAATTATTCAATACAAATTAATAAATCTTACTTCAAAATCAACCAATAATTTCGAGAGAGAGAGAGCACATGATTGATGATTCCATCACATGGTGTCACTGACATCATCATATCTGGCCACGACTTCTCCTCTTTCCAATGTTCCCAACATCCCAAACATCACGTGTTATTTCTCATCACTCCCCTTATTCTTTCTCTAATTACCACTCACTCCTATAAACTACTTTTCAAAATTGCTTTCTTACCCTCATAGTTCATTCACTTGGATTAAGAAAAATCAATAGAATCAAACTAAACTTTGGTTGATTTTCATAGCGTACGGATACAATTGAATATGTGGTAGAAAATTTAATCCCACTCCTACAATACCAAAGAAATAGGGGTCAATATTTTAACAATTCATGTCGTATTTAATTTTGTTTATCTAAATCAATACTCGTTTAAAAAAGAGTTTATTTTATTCAATTATCTTCTTTGATAAGAAAGTAGATAATCCAGACTAATCTATCTTGATTTAAAAAATAATTTGCACCAATACCAATTGAAAATAATTTTGTGTTATATTGTTTTAAATATTAATAAAAAATAAGTGAATAATATTACATATTTTTGGTGAAGAGGGAGATATTTATAAAGCATCTCCAACCCTATCTATTCATTATTTCCAATGTCAATCTATGATTCTTAATGAAAATCATTTTTTTGCACAAAATTATTGTTGTTGTTTTCCCATTTTCTCAAAAATAACAAAAGAAAAAAAAAACCTATTCAATTCGATAATTAATTTCTCTCAATTTCATTGACGGGAACCAAACCGTTTATACAAACAAAAGCTTAGGCCTAGTTTGAGAAGACTAAATAAATATATTTTTTGATTTTTTATGAAATATGGGTTGAGTTTGGGTTGAGTTTGAAGTGATGTGTTAGAGAGGTGATGTGACTTAAATAAGATGATGTGACTTAAATAGGATAGTAATTTTTTGACTTTTTATCTTTTTTCAATCATGCCAAACTTGACCTTAATACCAAGGCCAAGTTTTGGAAGACTAAAAAAGTGCACTTTTTATCTTTTTGGACTAAAAAATTGAGGTTGAA